TATACNTACTATAATACTAATACTAGTATATATATATACTATATATATATATATATATATATATATATATATATATATATATATATATATATATATATATATATCACCCGTTGTATACCTCCACGCACACTATAGGTCGAACCGTCGATATAAACTGGTACAACCAAACAACGACGGCACATGGCGATGTCAAACTTGCCACAAGCACAAGCACGCAACCATGACACAGAATAACAACTTCACAGACGCGACAGAGGTCATGCTTTTGCATCGGACGATACATATCCAGATTAGATATCCACGACCACCACAGCTGTAGCTAAAGGATGCCCCAGGCAGCCATGGTGTGAATATAGACGCCACACAATTAACCTGAATGACATTCACTCATGGAGACAACAAACCATCATCACAGTCACAGTACAACATCACAGCATCACATCACAGTCACAGTACAACATCACAGTACCATATCATAGTACAACATCACAGTACCATATCACAGTACAACATCACAGCATCACATCACAGTCACAGTACAACATCACTGCATCACATCAAAGTCACAGTACAACATCACCTGCGCCTCGTGTTTCTTCGAATGGCGTTTCCTCCTCCGTGAGGGATGGGGAATGTTGAACAACTGCTTTGGGGTCTGACCAAATTCTACGATTGATCGAGGAAGGGTGAATGTTAAATACATTGTATTGGTATCTGGCACAATTTCTGCCCAAATTCTGCGTTTCTATCAGGCAGGGTGGATGTTGAACAATTTGAACAATTGTTTTGGGGTCTGACCCGATTCTGCAAATGGGTTGAGAGTGATGACCGTATCCAATCTGTCTCAGACCCATTTGGCCACCTCTCAGATAGCATAACATACACCTACGCGTGAGTGGTGTGAATATAAATGACCCTCCCACACGGATTGTCATTGATCTGAGGGGGTGTTACCACAAGGTAGATATACCTAGACTATACTCGCCATACAGGGCAGCAACGCGCATGGACTCTAGGAACTATACCTACACTCTACTCCACAGACAGAGCTGCCACCCTCCCTGGTCCACATACTAGCTGCTATGTAATTGGAAAGGCACCATCACATGCGCATACCGACACTCCACTCCACCTACATAGCAGCTAATACATGCGCCAATTGCGAGCATTGACGCACGTACGTTCGTTGCAGATTTCAGGCCACAGCGCCACTTCGCAAGTTATCTTTGTCATTGACGTCAAGACGAAGTGATAGAGCTCCATGCCGTACCTGCGTCATGTCTTAAGGATTCCTTATTCGTACCTAATCCTAATTTCTAAAATATTTTTATATTATCCATTCCTATTTCCTACTCGGTGCCCTGTTTACAGTTGGGGGTTTTTTCATACCACTCCTGTTCAACGCCTGTATACTCTTCTGTGGTCGCACATGAACACTCATACCTAAACATGAATACTCATACCTAAACATGAACACCTATACCTAAACATGAACACTCATACCTAAACATGAACACTCATACCTAAACATGAACACCCATACCTAAACATGAACACTCATACCTAAACATGAACACTCCTACCTAAACATGAGCACTCTTACCTAATATCTGCATGGTCGTGGCTTCCTTCTCGTGCGGATCTTCGATGGAGTCCAAGTCAACGGTCCCCTCATACGACAAGTAATGGAACACATTGTGGGCCTTAACCGCTTCCTCTCCTCTCTGTTTGTAGCTGTGTCACAGAATGGGTTGGTCATTTACCAGGTGAAAGGTACCCTGATTAGTCGATCTAACTATGTCACACCACCCGGCAGTCAGCTACATACCAGAAAGATGGTTCTCTTAGGCATTTTTTTGCGAGATAGATGCTATCTGTAATGAGCAGTTGGTACATATTGTTTCTGTTGAGTGTTTACGTAGTCTGGGTTGAGAACGAGGGCAGTCAATCAGTTTCGGTATCTTCTGAATCGACCCTTCGATCTGAGCCGATTCAGCTACACTACAGGAAACTATCGATAAACGACCGCCGTATACGTCTATACTGAGCTAAACAGTAACAACCCTCTCACTCAACGCACACTGTGTGTACACAAACATGGATACAAATCATCAGGCATGAACCATGCATGCTGAGTAAGACATGACACATGCATGCTGAGTAAGACATGACACATGCATGCTGAGTAAGACATTACACATGCATGCTGAGTAAGACATGACACATTCATGCTGAGCAAGACATGACACATGCATGCTGAGTGTCCCATGCTTCGCAGTCAAACTTCACCGAGCGCCAGTTCAGCCGAGTGGTTCTGGATACCACATACACGTTCGCTGTCGTTCAAATCACACACCGCTACCACCTATGGTCATGTGTTGATACAAACAAAACGTACATTGATACCTACCCGAATATCAGATCAGTCCAGTGGTGCAGCTTAGAGGACACTCGAGCGCTTCTCTCGTACTGACACACACCTTACCTTACCAGTATACACTTCACCTACTAATACCGACGTATCTCTACCCGAGGCTACCCTTAGACCTACCCGAATATCAGATCAATCCAGTGGTGCAGCTTAGAGGGCACTCGAGCGCTTCTCTCGTACTGACACACACCTTACCTTACCAGTATACACTTCACCTACTAATACCGACGTATCTTATCTCTACCCGAGGCTACCCTTAGACCTACCCGAATATCAGATCAATCCAGTGGTGCAGCTTAGAGGACACGTAGTCGCACTCGAGCGCTTCTCTGCACTTGAGCACAAAATCTTCAGGTGAGACGGCCCATGGCGGTAGCACCACATCGTTAATCACCGTCCCGTCCTGCTTGCGACCCAATGCCAGATGTTGGCTGTTGAGCAGAAACTCGGATGATTGTCGGCTCCCTAGACTATACAGATAAGGAAATGAACCGTACTTGATCAGATTATATATACGCATACATATACATACATATATATAT